AAATTTTATTGATATTTTAAAATCGCAGAATTTCTGCAAAAAGACTATAATTCACGTGATTTCTGCTGCATTCTGCAGAAAATCATCGTCCCTGACCCGATTCCTCATTATTTAACATATAATAATTGTGAAAATACAAACCTCATTTAAAAAATCAAAATCTATGTTTTTAGAATCGTTAAGATTTTTCAGAACAACATCATTAATTCCTTGAGAATTAAACCTTTGTTCACGTGTGCACCAACTGCTTATACCATTATAACATTTTGCTTTAAATATTCTACTAAAATCGCCTTCGGCAAGATAAGTAATATTACTAAATTTCTCATATGGAATAAAATCCGTATGCATGTTATGCCCATGGCTTAATTTATATAATACAATTTCTTTTCTTGTTTGAATAAGCCAATTGTCTATAATTTCATTGCCGTTTAATATTAATTGATCATAGTGATCACATAAATTGCATTTCGTGGCATTCTTATCTTTATGTAGCCTTTGTCTTTTACAAGTTTTACATTTTTTCGTGTATGTAATATGGAAATTGGTATAGTTTTATTCATAATGTCGATAAAGCTATTGGGCAATGATTCAATATAAATAATTTAATGGCTGTATTTTAATGCTTTTTCGAAACTGAATGGAATATTCTAAATTTCTATATTCTTTATGGAAAATATTTTGGAACTCTTCTCTAGAATTCGAATTTTGACCTGCCTATATGTTCATGCAGTACAACCTGTTCGAGAGAAAAAATAATACAAATTTGATATTTGTACAATAAACTCTACTATATAAGGTGTCAGATATTACAGACAAAGTATTTTTTTTATTCCAAATATGTACAAAATAAATACTTTATTTTAATGTTTAACTAGACGCGAAGCATCATAACTGTAATTTTCAAACAAGTGATAAGAAATAATTTTATGGAAAAAACAAATCACTAAAAATATCCCAACGATCTTTAATATTTTACCTAGCTACCATTTATTTGAATAGGAAAATTCCAAAAATCAATCCATTTGTATCCTGATCCGTTGGAACAAAGCTTTCGCGGATCAGATTATTATTCATTAATCTCTGTGATCTTGGCATGGTGTCAGATTATTTCAAAAAAAAAAGAGGTCACAGTATCTGGTATTTCACATATGTATTACTACATTTTCTTAATTCTATGTGTTCTAACAGTACACTTCTAGAATACTCGAATCGCATTGTCTAATTTTGGTAATCACCAGATTGTGTGTTTTTGCTATTTTTAATTTGAGCTTTAGACAGAAATTGAAAAATTTTATAAGTTATACTTTATCTGTTACTGTACAATTAAAACTTATATATTAATATGAACTATAATTTAAAATATAACAATATCTGAATTTATTGGAAATATTCTGACATGATAATCCAAATTTGGCTTAAATTTTTTCATGAGGATTTTAGTTTATTCTATTACCTGCTTTTGTTATAGCTTAAAATATTTCTTTGTATGATTATAAATTTAGGCTTCTAAGATAATAACACTTTGATCAATAATTACTCAATACTCACTTAGTCAAATTTTAAACCGTTTTATTCCACAAATTCATTAACGCCAAAAAATCTTTGCTAAATTTAATCAGGTTGGCGTTAAAGTATTTTCTGTCAGAAGTATCAGATCCTTTCTCATTTCTGATTGGTTTGCACCACATAAACGCTCATTTTGAGAAAAAAAAAAAAATAGGGAATATCTTAAAATTTGATCTGATTAACTACAATTGTACTATAATTAAATTTTCCTTACGATGCGATTTTGCCATAATCACACCCTAACTCTAAAACAAACTTCAAATCATGTGTTTTCTGAGATCATCAAGTGTTTAAAAACCTTTTATTCGCAATAACATCTAATTCTGTAAATTCAACAAAAATACGTAAATATACTATGTGCTCTACCGTATAGTCGCGAAATAACGCGCATGGGTGTAATTTCAAATTTTGGCCCAAATTAAGCTTAATTCGTGCCATCATTCTCATTCTGCAGAAATCATCGCCCCTGGATTTGTTGATTACAGTAGTTAATCTAGCAGTCAACTAACAGTATTCTAGAAGAAATCTTATGGCTAACATTATCTAAATGAGCGCTAAATACAAATTTAAATTTTCGCGACTAGGGAAGAAGTCTACGGACACTTACGGTTTTACATATCAAATTGGTAAAAAAAACAATTACATTAGATGCTAATAAAGCTCGTATTTAGATAAGACCTTGTTTAAATATTAAAAGGCAATAAAATTTTGCACCTACCAAATGAACTGGAGACTCGCCACCCAAAAATTTCGCAGTAAAATTTCGTGCTGTTAGGTTATGGTTAGGACTTTGTCGTTAGGATAGAATTCAGAGATACTATGTATGACAAAATTTTGCAAGGAAAATTTTTTATTAATACACAGAAGACAGTTTTATATGCTAAATTTTGAGTAATAACCAAACGAACGTTTGTTTTGAATTTTCCTGGCCGTGCTCAGTTATTTTTCACCGTACTGGACTCCTGGAAAATTGTGATACGGTGTAAGCTGTTTTTTTTAAAAAAAAAAAAAACTATCATAACTGCTTAATTACACGTACCTAATTCATATCGCAATCTTCCAAGTTTAAACCCGGTACTGTGAAATTTTAATATTCATACTTACAGGTTTTCTCTTAGTAACTTTCAGATAACTAATCATAATTCTCTAATGAATAGCATACGAATAGCATGAACTTACACTGCCCATAGAATTTTCAAAGTTGACCTATTTGATCATGTGAATGGTAATTCCCGTTCCCTAACAAAAAGTAATTATGACTATCCACTAATCTAACATTATGTGGATTAATCAAAATTTCCCATACATATCAGCATAATGTATCTTAACTTCATAAGAGATGGATTTTCTTACAAATCTTTTTTAGACCAAATATCATCACGAGACAAAGGTGTGATTTCCGAAATGCGAATAAACTGCGCTGAAATTTCTTCACCGTAGATCTAGCACGAAAAGATCGTTTAAAATATTGCGGATCTAAAAAATTCGCGCAATAGGACATAAAAGAAATTTTCAAATATTAGGCTTAGTTGAAAGAATACGGGCGATATTGAGTAAAATATTTAACAAAATGGCTATCTGAGTCACGCCTTTGGTTAAGAGTCTATAATAAGTAAAAAATAAATAAAAAAATTTAAAAAAAGCATACCGAAATAATGCCCATGAGTATTGTTTCGAATAATGGAAACTGCATCCTTAAACGTTACGTTGTTAGTGTTCACAACATTCAAGTCGATTCACCCATGTCAATATTTTGTTGTAATACGGATTAAATTTTTTGGCTCCAACCCGACTTCACCATTTAATTGATGCAATCGCCATTGATAAACTATCAAAATCGACATGATTTACTCGAAAGAATAGCATTTAGCACTGGTGGTGCACCCATCATTTGTCCATAGGCTAATTTTTTATCTCTCAAAAAAAAAAAGTTATCTGTTTAAAAACTATTGCACAAGAAATTATATAAAGCCTATCTTTCACCTTCCCATATTACTCATAAAAATACTGCTTATATTGCTGAACAGCTTTCACTATGCATTTTTTTTAAAATTCCTTTCTTTTTACTCTTTGGAGTTGTACTTTCTTTTATTGTACTCGTCTCAGTTTCCAAACCTATTGAAGATATCTCTGATGACAATGACCTCGAATTTAATGTTAAAAACTCTGATTCTATCGATGAAAGTAAATTTGTTGATACGGACGTTTATTTTCCGAGTGACGATGAAGAATCTTTTGAGTAAGCTCAATTCTTTGTACAATCTAATATAAAAAATAAATGAATAAATAAATAAAATAAAAAACACAAATTTTGCACATTCAGTAATAATATAGAACAAATTCGTCGTGGTCGTGGAAGCCGAAATTACAGAGGGGGAGGCTATGGTTATGGAGGCTATGGTTATGGAGGCAGAGGTTATGGAGGTTATGGTTATGGAGGTTATGGCTATGGAGGTCGAAGTAGACGCGGAGGTCGCAGAGGTCGCCGCAGAGGAGGCTTTTAATAAACGATAAACATTGTCATGTACTGTTACTATTCTGTGATCAATAAAGAATAATAAATTTTCCTTCCTTATACTACATAAAACACATCCACTCTTTATTAATGGTTTAAAAAAAAATTAATTGGGACATATAGGAGAGTTATAAATTATATTACCGTATTTGCGCGTAATAACGCACATGGGAAGTTTCCATTTTTTTTGTAAATTGTTTTTTTGACTCAAAATAACGCCCATGCGCGTCTCAAAATAACGCGCCCCTTAAAGATACCGTATTACATATTTTATCGAATTTTTCAGGCTAAGTTCATTAATAAAAGTAGGGCTTCCTCTGGTAACCCAAATTTGTCAAATAATTCGAATTACCGCGCATGCGCGTCCCAAAATCGGATTATATAAGGTTTTGGGTTCTGAATATTTTACTTAGTAAGGAACAACAAAAACAAGTTTTTTAACACTTTCTCTTGGAAATTTTGAAGAACTCACAAGTATTCCCAACCCAATTACTTAATAGGTTTTTGAGATATAGCAGCATCAGTGATGATCACTAGTAGTGATAAACAGCAAACTTCAATAAGAGGCGACTAGAGAAGTTCGACTGTATTGCTTTTTTTTTTTTTTTTTTAATTGAATCGTAAAATTTGCTACATGTATTTGATATGTATATCTTGATTTCTTAAATTCGTACGTATGCTTCGCAATGGTAAAAAAAAAAACATATCATGTTAATGAGATGATGTGATGCTTGTTTTAGACTATTTTGCATCACATTTTTTTTACAAATTTGAAATATTTCATATTCATCTACAATATAATAAATCCCCACTTTTGTTTCTGATCTGAAATTGATAACTATCTTTTATACAATACCATCTTATATGCTCATATCCCATTACAAGGTCATAACAACTAAAAGATGGACCTAATAAATCTTTCATAACAAATTGCACTTGATTCATCACTTACACGACTAAGAATAGATTTATTTAAATTTCCTTTTTTAAAGAGAAAATGAAGTTATCAGTTATCACAACAAACTCATAATTAGAACCAACGAGTTTCCAAATAAGCGGATTATAACCACCAATTATCGTACGGGTCTTATGTAACAACCCGTGCTCATTTGTTATGGTTATTCACACGGGTTTATATGAAAATCACCTGATTTTCATATAGACCCGTGCAAAATAGTTTATTTTTTTTAAAAAAAAAATGTTTTTAAAATTGTCTGCATTGAGGATTGGGAAATTTTTTTTTTTTGAATTGTTAAATGAAGCTTTATTGAAATTTACTAATTTCCACGTTATTACAGGATATAAAAAAACATTTACTAAGAATTGTCAAATTTAAGATTTAATGTAATTGTTAAGAGCTTGTCAGTAGCTGGAATTTGCAATATAATGTTTTGTGTAATAGGATTAAGAACTTGCCGTGATTGTTGATTTATAGAAATATGCTGTTGAGTAGAAGTTTGCTGTTCGATTAGTTGCTGCTGAGACTTTGATAATGCAATTGAATTAGGCGGTTGGTGTTGAGGCTTCAATGGCGCAATTGAATTGGGTCGTTGTTTTTGGGGTTTTGATAGTGCACTTGAATTTGATAACTTGAATGGAGGTTTAAAAGGTTCGTAGACAGTTGACTTGTGTCTTGAAACTTTTGATAATTTAGGCTTTTTTTAAGGTTCATTTTGTTCTTTTAAATTTGTATTAGTAATTAAAGTTTATAAATAAAAAAAATAACAAATTATTTTGACTTTTTTTTTTACTTTTGCATTTATTTGAATTCTTATTTGTTATGGTGAAAATATCCTGATCTATACCTTTTTCTATCTTATTATCATCATTATTCTCTAATTCATAATTGGTATACAATTCACCCAGATAGGAATAAAATTCTTCAAGATTATCATCAATTGTTGCATTTAGAATTAACATTGCAGTAGAATTCAATTGTTGATTATCAGTAGGCTTGCTATATGATCTAATACCTTCATGAGACCTATGTTCTGAAAAATTTATTAATTCATCTTTAGGTATATCTGCTGCCTTAAGAATCATAATTGCACTACAACATGCACTGTGGTTGGTAATTTTATAATCATCAAGTTTTATTCCAGTATTTAAAGCAATTTGATATAACATATTTTTGAGTTTATTTGTGCTCATTGATGATGATTGATACCAAATTCCCTTTTTAATATCATCTTTTTTGCATATACACTCTAAAAATAATGCATCATAATCTGACTTTCATTTGGCTATTTAGACAAATATAACAATATATCATTGACTAGTTTAAACTTGTTTTTGCTATTATCAGGTGGAATTAGAATAGTTTTAGTGCCAGTATGTCCATAATGTTGTTAATAAAAAATGGCACCCTGATTGTTTTTTTCAGTTCTAAGCTGTAATTGCAATTTACTATTTTGATATCTTTCAATATCTCAATATTGTAAGTTGTATATATCTCCTTCTCTAAGTCCATATAATATAGATAACTAGAAAAATACTTACTGAATTAAATTTTTACTATTGCTAATAGATAAAAAGTTATGGAAGCAACTTTATTAGAAGTTAGAGCACTACTTTGATCTATATTTCCAAATCTACTATTCTGTAAATATTGCCTTTTTTTATTTAAATATCTTAATGCTTTTGAAAAGTTGTATTTATCTTATATCTTGAATAACTATATTTTCTCTTAAGTGATAAGACAGAGCAGTATAAAAGTTATGCATAGACTCAACCTTGAAAGAGGTTCTTTTTTTTTTTTTTGAGCCAAGTGACAAACAAACTAAAATATGTATCAAGCTCTTTATTATTATTAATTTCGCTTAATTTTTTTTCAATGTTTTGCTTTTTTTATATTAGTCAACATGCTAAAGCTACTTTTTTGTATTTTTATCAGTATTAGTAACTTGGAATAAGTTTGTAAAATGTCTAACTTCTTCTTCCAAATCAGTACTCATTTTTTTTATTTGGTATATATTAAATAAAGTGAACAATAAAGTGTATTAAAAGAGAAGAAAAATATGCGTTAAAAAAGTATATAAAAATAGATATATGTGTAAAAAGAAAATGTGTATTAGAAAAAAGAGCATGAAAAAAAATATGATTAAAAATGTTACCAATTTATTTAATTGCTAAAAAGTGATTTAAAAGTGATCAATAACTTAATCAATATTAATAAAAAAAGCTATTATTAATTGTATAAATTATTATATCAGACCCATATGATAATGTAGTTATTGTATAAGTATGTAGTAAATAACCTATTTTTATGCAGGTTTATATTTAAATTTCATGGCTTTCAGCCACAGAATTTAAATATAAACTAGTGTATAAATAGGTTGTTTACTACAACCTATACAATAACTATAATTTATTTAACTTTAATATATTTAGGCCAAAAAACTACACTACCAGACACATACTCTAAAAATATTTATATTCTTGATATACAAAATTACATCTGGGTTACTTTAGCAAATCTACCAACAACTATCTTAGCTAAAATAACACCTACTGCAACTATTGTTTAACAATATAAAAATAATTTATATTTATAAATTAGTATTGATATTAGTATAAACAGATTTGTTTTAGTTGGAATATTGATTATTGCTAGATTTTAATTTATAAAAAACAATATAAAAAACCTAAACCTTAAGAAATATCTATAGAAGAAAATATATATAAAGCACATTCTAATGTGGTTTATTTACTAAGAGAGATATATATTTTTCATATACTGAATATTATTTATTAGAGTGTTCAATAAACTAATTGATCAAAACTTAGTTAGAGTCATATATAATAATTATTAATTTCAGATTTTTTAAAGGGTTATTTTACATATAAATTTGTACTAATTTAGATACATTTTTCTATACAACCAACAAACAAAATTGTATATATATTTTTTTTAACTGTAGCTTTAAACTAGCTTTACACTATAACAGAACCAGGTTTTTAATAATTTTTAATAAAATTTTAGATTAATTTTTAGTAATAATTATTAAAAAACTAGTCTAGAACTACAGTTTTTAAAAAAAATATAATACAATTTTGTCTGCTAGTTGTATAGAAAATGTACCTAAAAAATTCATATATAAATTTATATATAAAATAACTCTTTAAAAATCTAAATTTAATAACTCTAACTATGTTTTGATTAATTAGTTTATTGAATACTCTAATTATTTATGGTGCTAAAATAAATATTATTTTGTAATCTCAGAAATCTATAATTTAATTGTTTCAAAATTTTTATATGGTTAATCAATAATAAATAATAATACTATATAAACAAAAGTAATAATAACAAAAAATTTCACAAGACTCTCTTCAACAATCACTTGTACCAAAATTTCAACTAACAAAAAACAAAACTTTTGTTGGAGAGACGTGGCTCTATAGTGCGGTTTGTCTAGAGGTTAACCTTTTGCTTTGAGAACTCCTCTAAAAAGACGTTCAGCATACAAGCCAGGAGTGTTATTATACAAGATAACTGGCAGGGAGTTGCCACCTGGGTGCCCTTGTATGAAAAATCTTGGTGAAGGAAGTAAATTGTATAGTAGGCTGCTACTTTGTCGACAAAGCCCTAGGCCATTACTTCGAAGAAGAACATAGGGGAAACAACAAAAGTTTTAGATTTTAACACTCTCTTTAGAAGTTTTGAAAGTACCTGCAACTGAAGACCTTCTACTATATTTTCACTATTTTGGAATTTTTTTTTAAAAA